TGGATTCTGATAATCACACCCACTTGTACTGAACTCCCATCAAGCACCTGGTCAAGGAAGCCTTGCAGATGGCAGCTGAGGCAGTTCCCCCCCTCCCCCAGCAGAGAGGCCCAGTAGCACCCTTACTCTTTAGGGAAACATAGTTAAAAACATACCACTGGGCACTTGTTGAACAAAGAAGCAAAGATACAGATTCTACCAAACTCTGCTGAGGGTGTGAAGACAGCCCTTCCACGTGGCTGGGGGACAGAGTGGTCCTGCCATTCTGTAAATGACTGTTGATGAAGGAAGACACCGGCCTCCAGACCCATCAGAACATGTACACATGTCTATACCACACGCATAAAAGAGGGGGAAGGAGAGGAAATGAATGCGGGACACGCACAGCTCCAACTCCGGGGGATCATGGGTACCATGCTGAATGAGCTTGGTATATATATATTTTTTTCAAGCAACAGGTACATGTGTAGAGAACGGAGCCTGGCCGTCAGGGACTGGAGAGCAGTGCACATGTGGCTTTATTTATTTGCTGTTTTGAGGTTCGGGGAGCCTTGAACACACAGACAAACAGTCAGCCAATGAGCTGCATCCCCTGGGTGGCATTTGAGAAGTCACTGGCAGGGCTTTCTCTGTGGTGAGACAGTGGCGGTTGTTTTCACCGCGATGATGAAAACATGAAACTACGTGTATTGAGCTGCCCAAGGTAGGAAAGCGAGTTTATGTGTAGCCCGAGGACTCTGGGTCAGGTCTGTGGTCTGATGACTTGCGCTCTGTCAAGGTCAAGGTCTTGTTTCTGCTGATTGGTGTGGGTACAGAAGATGTCTCTGAGAACACTGGAAGATTGAGGAGTCCTTCCCAGGGTGCTCTGGCCCACTTAGCTATTTTTGAAATCTTAACCAAAGGCTGAAAGATGATATACCATTTATTATTACTATTATCTTTATTTTATGTGGATTGGCATCTAGCCTGCATGCATGCCTGTGCAAGGTTGTCAGCTTTTGGGGTTATAGACAGTTATGAGTTTCCATGTGGGCACTGGGAACTGACCCAGAAGAACAATCAGTGCTCCCTACTGCTAAGCTATCTCTCCAGCCCCTACCATTCATTATTTATTCATTTATTCATTCATTCATTATTCACCTCACCTCACCTCACCTCACCACCTCACCTCACCTCACCTCATTCCATTTTTCAAAAGTGGATCTTATTACATAGCTCATGCTACTCTCTAACTTGCAATCCCCTGCCTCAGCCTCTGTGCTAAGATTACAAACGTGCACTGTCTGCTCTTCCAGAGGTTCTGAGTTCAATTCCCAGCAGTCACATGGTATCTGCAGATGTGTATGACATGCTTAGGTAGTTTGGGTTCTTTCAGTTTTAGGAATTGCTTTTAAAAATTTGACATATGTATATGTTTAGATTTATTGTAAATTGTTTATATGTGTGCATGTCTCTGTGTAGGCATAAATGCACACACGTGTGGGACTGGGGAGGTGTCAGATCCTGTAGAGCTGGAGTTCCAGGTAGTCATGAGCTCTCTGACATGAATTCTAGGAACTGAACTGAAGAGAGGTATGTACTCTTAGCCACTGAGCCGTCTCTCTAACCTCTGCTTTTGGCATTTTAGCGTTTTTATATTAGGTACAAGTATTGAAGTGGCTCCTAGAACTTTCACAGCTTCCCCTCTCCGTGGCTCACTCCTCAACAGCGTGGGAGTCTGGGTTACTCAAGGTCAACTGAACACAGGAACCAGAGAAGCAACAGCCGGAGGCAAGAATATTACGCTTGAGGGATGGGGACATGCCAGAGGGCAGAAGCAGTGGGGCAGACGGGACAGGGCCACGGAGGAGTTACTGCCCACAGCAGCCTCTTTACCGGACTTCAAGAGAGACTGGCCAGGGGGAAGCAGGCGCCTCCCTGTCAGGGCAAGTCAGTTTGGACAGACTAGTTAGGCCTGGCGGCTCGCACCGGCCGAGTACCCACAGAGTAGGTCGAAGCCTGGCCCTCATCATAAGGGAATCTCTGCTGGGATCAGATCCAGCCCTTCCCATACCCGCCAAGTGCTTTGTCTCTTAGCTGCACCCCAGCCCCGATGTGAGGGGTGGCCAAGAGAGCCCCTCACTTAAGCGAGGGTTGTCTTGGCTACAGGTGCTCTGCGCTGCCTCTGCCGACTGTACGGCAGGACCCTGTTCATGTTATTTTCCCCAGTAGCCATGTCCGAGACCAGGAGACTTGAGGATTATTCTGAAGTCTCATTCTGTTAAGGGTGTCCACCAGGTCTGTTACTAGCTGGTTTGTGGGGCTCTAGAGGGAGTCAGGCTTATTTGTTTGTTTATTTATTTATATTTGTCTTTCAAGAAGCATACCCTCTGTTGTGATCTGGGTTGGGCACAGCAGCTACCATCATGAGGCAGAATCATTAAGATTTTCAGAGGGAGCAAAGACTAGGGTCCTCCCCTCCAAGAGTCACCATGTCAGAGGCAAACAGTTGTCGAGGGCGGCTCTTCTTTTTGATGTGGCTCCTGGAAATGGCTCCAGCAAGGTCATTGGTTCGCCAAACTGTACTGGGATGGAACCTTCCTTTGGCCTGACGGTGCCTTTCCTGCTGGGCGTGAGAAGATGGTTCTCTGTGTGCTACCCTGCTAAAGTGGAAAAAACCAGTTTCAGGGCCTCAGACTCTTTGCTTCCCATTGTCTAATGCAGAGACTCAGCAGGAATGGCACTGAGTCTATGACCTAAAAACTTTGTTCTTTTATTTAATTAAGACAGATTTAGATGTCGTGTCTGTGTGTGTGTGTGTGTGTGTGTGTGTGTGTGTGTGTTTGAGAGAGAGAGACAAACAGAGACAGAGAGAGAATGTCAATTGCACAGATGCCCACAGAGGTCAGAAGAGGGCATTCATCCCCTGGAACCAGAGGGACAGTTTGTTCCACCTGACAAACTGTTCTTGGAATCAAACTCAGGTCCTCTGGAAGAGCAGAAAGCAGTCTTAACCTCTGGACCAATCCCTCAGCCTCTGCCTCTACTCCCTTCTCTCACTCACTTCCTTCTGTGCATCAAAGCTGGCCTTGAACTTGTGGCACTTCTCTTCCTCTGATGTCCTCTGTGGTTTGGGTCACAGGCACGCACTATGCCTGGCATCTAATTCCACTCCTCCTATTTTTAATTCGAGGCCAGCCTGGTCTACAGAGTGAGTTCTAGGACAGCCAGGGCTACACAGTGAAATCTTGTTTCAAATTTACAACCATCCAAGACTGGGTTGGGGAAATAATTCAGCTGATAAAGTGTTTGCTGTGCAAGCATAAGGAAGTGAGTTCAATCCCAAGAATAGATACAGAAAAGGTAAAGAGAGACAGACAATTTTTAATAAATTGATTCCTTTTAAATCAATTTATTATTAATGTGTGTGTCTATGAGCATGTGCAAGATGGCATGTGAAGTCAGTGGACAACTTTTGGGAGCTGGCTCTCTCTACTGTGGGCTCAGGGGACTGAACTCAGGCTGTAAGATTTCAGGGACCAATGTCCTTACCCTCAGAGCCATGTTGCCAGGTCCCCAAATCTACAGTTTTCTTTTTTCTTTTTGAAAAAGGGTCTTGGAAAAGATGTAAATTGTGATATTAAACCAACCAACCCAACAAACAAACAAACAAACAAACAAACAGACAGACAAAGACTAGGTTGGGGAGATGATTCAGCGTGCAAAGTGCTAGTTACGAAAGCAAGAAGACCTGGCTTGCTAGCCAGATAGTTTAGCGGAGTCAGACAGCTTTAGGTTCAATGAGAGACCCTGACTCAAAAAAATGAGGAGAGCAATCAAGGAAGACACCCGATTATAGACCTCTGTTCTACACACACACACACACACACACACACACACACACACACACACACACA